AATTTTTTATTACACATTTTTCAATAAAAAGTCAAAAAGTTAACCCAAACATCAATATTTTCAATCTCAATTTTTTAGTCCAAAAATACAAAAAGTGCACTTATTTAGTCTTCCCAAACTTAGCCTTAGGAGGTTTTTTTTTTTATTATTGGTTCTGTATTCGGGGGCCTATTTTACCAAATCAACAATGTATTATTAGTAATGACAAATTAGATATTTTAAGTATTTTTCTTTGCTAAATATATATATTGGGTTATGTTGAGAAATTAATTAAAAATTATTTTTTATTAATTCATTTTGAATCATATTATTTTTTACATGTTTTTTTAAAAAAATTAAAAAATTAATTTTTAATCATGTTTTTAAAATAACTCATTATGTGAACTCATGTTACATTTTCAAGAGTAATAATATATAAATAAAAAATTTATGTATAATAGTGTGATCATGAACTTTTCACTCAACACAAAATCTCATTCAAAATAGATATATTTACAATAATAATATTATTACATTATTTTTATAATTTTTTTTTATATAAATTTTATGTATATTTAAAAATTTTCGTTAAAAAATTAGAACCTTACAAATTAGTGTTTAAAGCAAAGACTTTTAAAACCGGCCCTGTGGAAGGGGTTTAATTATTGTTCTTTCCACTTGCATACGGAAACTCTTTTGAAAATTTTGTGTATGGTTAAGTGATTCCCTGATGTTAATGCGAGCCTTGACTTTTGAAATTGGAATCAGAACCGAATTGGTGATTTTTTTAAGACCTCTATTTGTGATTTGTCATGCTTGTTTGGTTTCTAATACAATTATCATATCCTTAAACACAGGAATCTGGGACTAGTGATAATGAAGATGGTGAAGAGCTACTGAAAAGAGGCCAGGCTTCCCAGCAGGACAGCACAGGGAGGATGGAGACAAGAACTCGAGCATTGGATCTGGGATGGACTTTCCTTGGCCTTACTTTCCAAGCATTACTGTGTCTGGCGATTTTCCACTTCCAGGCTCCATCTCGAGCATTGGATCTGGGATGGACTTTCCTTGGCCTCGCTTTCCAAGCATTACTGTGTCTGGCGATTTTCCACTTCCAGGCTCCATCAACGCCAACGTCAACGTCAACATTGTCTTTTTTTTCAATGTGGTTTTACCTTATTGGGGCTGCTATGCTGATGATTGCGATGCCGTTGCGCAACGCATACCCAACCGTTGCGCGCATTGGTGAGCAGATTGGCATGTTCTCTGTTGCCTTTGGGTTCTTGATGATGACTGGAATCCTCCTTCCTCATAGATTGAATTGTTTTGTGTTGCCTGTTGCTGGTGATCTCCTCTTTCTTGGGTTTGTATTTGCCCGTGCAAACATGAGGCAAAGACGATATCCCTCAGTTTGAAAGGGAAAAATGCTTGGATCCTTTTTTTAGAGGGATGAGGGGTCACTGCTGTGCATGAAGTACAGCAGTGACTGTGGTGCCTCCATTTGAGGTGTATTATGGTCTTATTTTTATGATTCAAACCGTTCATTTTGTAGGGTTTGTTGAGTACTTCATGCCTACCAAAAATCATATTAATCGGATATCAACAACTATATGATCGACAACCAAAAAAATAAATAATAAGTTTTATTTTGAGAAATAACATAAATAATATGCAATTCGATCATATAGTTTTTGACATCCGATTAATATAATTTTTGGTAGGCATGAAGTACTCAATAAACCCTACAAAATGAACGGTTTGAATCATAAAAATAAGGCCATAATACACCTCAAATAGAGACACCACAGTCACTACTGTGCTTCACACACAGCGGTGAGTCCTCATCCAACAGAAGTCTCAATTATTGTTGTTTGTAAAATAGCTTAAAAATTGAGTTTTTTTTTTTTTATTTTTTGAAAAAAATTTAAAAAATAAAAAGATTATGTAACTCTAAAAAATTAAAAAGACAAAAAATTGACTTTTAACTCAGATGTCAAAATAGGCTGTGTGGGTGCATATTGTGCAAGTTATTTTAATATTAAATATTTTATATAATTATTTATTTAATTTGTGATAGACGATGATTACTTGTATTAATATGTCAGCAATGGTTAGTGGCCCGAAATTTAGTGGTTCGAATGGCTCGAAACTGTCAAAACGATATCGTTTTGACAATTTTGAACTATTTGAGCCACTGATTTTGTGACTCTCAAATATTTTTCTTAATATGTTTATTTCAAGAGTTCGTAACCTTTTTTATTTAATAAGACTTGCACAATTATCATTGAAAGTTTGAGAATGTAGTATATATGTAAGCCACTGATTTTGTGACCCTCAAATATTTTTTCTTAATATGTTTATTTCAAGAGTCCGTAACCTTTTTTATTTAATAAGACTTGCACAATTATCATTGAAAGTTTGAGAATGTAGTATATATGTTGGTTGAGTTGTTCATATATTATGGTCATTATGCACATAACGTATCAACTATTATATGTGGATTAAAGTGATGAATTATATATGATATTGAATTGTCATATAGTGATGGTGGTTTATAGTTGATTCAATATTGTACTAACTATGTGACTCTTCATGTTTTGGTGGATACAAGGAAGTGTACATGAAAAATATGAGTGTGTACATATAATTTATATTGTGTTTGTACAGAAATAGTTAGGCAACTTATAAAAGAATTTTTATTGTCTAGCTTTAGACTCACCTACTTATGTAAGGTTGATTGAGTCAGACTTCGTTTGGCAAGTGACTTTTTTAGTTAAAAATTCAAAAAGTCATTAAAAAAATCAAAAAACCAACAATTCATACAAAAAAGTCAAAGATTCCACTACAAGAAAACCTGGCTAATAACACAGAGGTTTTTGCGACGGGGTGACTACCGTCGCAAAAAAGGGTTTTTTGCGACGGGAAATAGTTACTGTCGCCAAAAAAAGAATTTTTTGCGACGGTATATATTTGCCTTCGCCAAAAGACGACTTTGCGACGACGTGTATCTACCGTCAAGAAACATGGACTTTTGCGACGAGGCGTATTCCGTCGCTAAAGATTGTAAAAAGAAATTTGCAGAAACATTGGCGACGCACGGTATACCGTCGCAACAAACGTCTTATTAGCGACGGTTAAATGTTACTGTCGCAAATGGTGGACCATCTGCGACGACAGAAGCCCATCGCAAAAAAACTCTGGTAAAACGATGTCGTTTCATTTATTAATTACGCTCATTTGCGACGGTTAAAATATACCGTCGCAAATAAATAAAATTTGGTATCCCGCTGTTCTATCCCATTTCGCGGTCAAATTCCTAAATTCCTCATATCTCCAAAATCCCTAAAATCGAAATCCCTCAAACCGAAATTGGTTCCTAAATTGCTCAAACCGAAACTTGAATTCGAGGACCCTAAAATCATTCCGCCTCAATCATTCCTAAATTGCTCAAACCGAAATCCCTAAAATCTCCAAAATCCCAATCCCTAACTGTTAGTAGAACCAAAATCCCCGAAATTCTCAAATCAAAATCATTCAAAATCAAAAATCTCAAATTTGTTCCATCTCCTGTGACCGACGAGGGTGAACGACGGCCTTCGCCGGAGTGACGAGCAGCAGTGACTGTGAACGACGACCTACGACCGACTGTGAATTTCTTAAAGGTCAGTGCATTCCTTCTCATTCCATCTCCTGTGAATTTCTTAAACATGAAAAAGAGAGTGTAGGTATCATTATATGATTTAAGAAGAGTTTTGTTCTTAAATTGTGACCCAAATTAGGGATTAGAGGGCTGATCATGAGTGTAGGTATCATTATATCATTACAAGCTCTCCATCGTCATCGTCTTCCTCGGCGAAAACCCAGAATTCTGACCCGAATTAGGGATCAGAGGGCTGATCATGAGGCCATTTTTGAGGTTGTTCCTTCTCTCATAAAGCTTGAATCCTTGTTTTTTTTGACCTGTGCTTTTGATTGGTGGGATGTAGGATTTGGAGGGCGGCGGATCTGCAGTGGAGGACGGTGGTTTGGAGGCTTGCTTGGCAGTTTCCAACGATCCGGTGAGCATTTGGACGACTTGTTTGAATGTGGTGGTGTCGGCTTGGACGAAGGTTGTTGGGTAGGGGTTGGATTCAGATCTGGAGAGAAGGGGTTTTGGGGTGAGAGGAGGGGTTTGAGAGTGAAGGACTCCATTGCTGTTAGTTCATGCTTGTAATTCGAAATATGCTTTCTGAACATATCAGGTTGTATAGTCAAACCCGTCCTCCATTTTAAAAAAAGAAGAAGAATTGGCTGCGAACATATCAGGTTGGTCTCTTTCTGATAGTTTCTCTGTAGATGCAATTCATATTATTGTGTTGCTGCTGTTTGAGTTATCATACTTGCATTATAACAGTTTTGTGCTTTAATGGAGTTGTCATTCAAATTGTCTAATTTTAGCATCATTATTTTTAGTATCAAATTAGTATAAATTTTGACATTTCTATAAACAGTTAGATGTATTTTATAAAAATTGAAGAGGGGTTACAAATATGAGGTGATGGTTGTGCTGGAAAAATGATATAAATAGTGGAGCAAAATTATCAATTTTTAACATTTTTGTACTGTAAAATATTAATATCAATTAATAGTTCTCATCATCAATTGATAGAGGGGAGTGTCTGCCATAGTTTGGTATTTCATCAAAATTTGTGTAGAGAGAGACAAAGAGAGTGGAACAGTATTTTGGTTTTGCTTGAAGAGATTCTCATCTTAATCTGACTTTTTCCCACGTGAAAAAAGAAAAAGAAAAAATAAATAAAAGGTGTTGGTTGCCTGTGAGAGTTAGGCTTGGAATGACATTGATTGGGTTGGGGGGGATGCTTTGATTGAACAGACCATATGGGAAAAATGATGAAAGTGAAAGTGAAAGGCCACACACATTGACACAGGCTGGTATCTTTGTAATTTTTTTCAATCATGGTTAGTTAGATTTATTATACATCCCTCTTTTTGAAGTCCCTATATATATATATATAGTTTTAAGGTCAAAGTTTAGCACAATTATGTCTAAAAGATGTGCCAAACTCTCATAATAAAAATTAGTTTGGTGAATTGATTATTATTATCGGTCCATATCTTCTTTTTAATATTTCCAAATTGAATTAATAACTAGTAGTTTATTTTTAATTAAGTGGTATGCTTTTGGCCTTTAGTTTGCTTCCTCTGTTGTAAATGGTATCACATCATATATATATTTGAATAAAAATTATGCCAGGGAATAGGGGAGGCGTGCACAATTGAGCCATTTCATTTGGTTCCTTCTTCTCTGCACTACTCTCTCTCTCTCTCTCTCTCTCTGCTTGCATTGCCTCCCAAGTTAGGGAGCTCTTCAAAAAACCCATACATTACATCCCCATCAAATATTTATTTTGTGTTTTGTTTGGTTCTTGGATTTGTAAAAGGAAAGAAAAAGAACATGGAGAAGATACGAAAATTAAAATAAAGTGAGCGATCTAAACATATCTGAAGACGAAGTGCTAGTCATATTTGTTTCCATCATATTTGTTATATATTAATCTTTGTCTGGCCAGTAAATGTGCCATGAGAATGATGCACTTCAGTAGTAGTGTTTAGGAGATTGCTAAATCCACAACCGTTATGGCTGCATCCAGATTCCACAGCCTCCTTTCTCATGTCGGGTCCACCTATGTGAGAGGGAACAATGTGGGTAAAGCCTAAAAGTTATGATTTTAGCAGTGGCATTGTTTTGTATTTTATCTGTTTAGTGGCACCACAGCAGCTATCATCTACTCAGCCACCATGCCTACCATTGGTGCGCCCACCATCAGTGGCACTACCATTAGAGGAGGCATCACAGCGAGCACCATCAGAGGGGCCATTAGTGCCACCGCATTGACCCCCATCAGTGGCACCACACCAGCTGTCAGCTACTCAGCCTCTAGGCCTACCATCGGTGCGTCCACCATCAGTGGCACCGCAGCAGCTATCATCCCGACTAGAGTCATCGGCTTATGAGCCATCCGCAGGTATATAAATTTGCTTTGATTTGTATGAAAATTATTTAAATATATATTTATTTGTGGGAGAAGACGGAACTCCAATCGGGTTCCTGGTTTGGGAGTTAGAGCCGTATTTCGATTTAGGCAAACTAGTTCCTTAAGAAACTTAAATTCGAGGTGTTAACACCCCAAAATCACCAAATGGGGTCGGATTGGCACGAAACTTGGCACACACGACCGCCTAGGCACGAGAGACTTGTGGGAGAAGACAGGACTCCAATCGGGTTCCCGGATTAGGAGTTAGAGACGGATTTCACTCTAGGCAAATTAATTCCTTAAGAAACTTGAATTCGAGGAGTTGATGCTCCAAAATCACCAAACGGGGTCGGATTGGCACGAAACTTGGCACACATGATTGCCTAGCCACGAGAGACTTGTGGGAGAAGACGGGACTCGAATCGGGTTCCCGGTTTGGGAGTTAGAGCCATATTTCGGTTTAGGCAAACTAGTTCCTTAAAAAACTTGAATTCAAGGTGTTGACGGCCCAAAATCACCAAAGTGGGTCGGATTGATACGAAACTTGGCACACAAGACCGCCTAGGCACGAGAGACTTGTGGGAGAAGACAGGACTCCAATCGGGTTCCCGGATTAGGAGTTAGAGACGGATTTCACTCTAGGCAAACTAGTTCCTTAAGAAACTTGAATTTGAAGTGTTAACGTTCCAAAATCACCAAACGGGGTCGGATTGGCACGAAACTTGGCACACACGACCACCTAGGCACGAGAGACTTGTGGGAGAAGACGGGACTCCAATCGGTTTCCCGGTTTGGGAGTTAGAGCCATATTTCGCTTTAGGCAAACTAGTTCCTTAAGAAACTTAAATTCGAGGTGTTGACACCCAAAATCACCAAATGGGGTCGGAGTGGCACGAAACTTGGCACACACGACCGCTTAGGCACGAGAGACTTGTGGGAGAAGACAGGACTCTAATCGGTTTCCCAGTTTGGGAGTTAGAGCCATATTTCGGTTTAGGCAAACTAGTTCTTTAAGAAACTTAAATTCGAGGTGTTAACACCCCAAAATCACCAAATGGGGTCGGATTGGCACGAAACTTGGGCACACACGACCGCCTAGGCACGAGAGACTTGTGGGAGAAGACGGGACTCTAATTGATTTCCCGGTTTGGGAGTTAGAGCCGTATTTCGGTCTAGGCAAACTAGTTCCTTAAGAAACTTGAATTCGATGTGTTGACGCTCCAAAATCACCAAAAGGGGTCCGTTTAGCACGAAACTCGGCACACATGATCGCCTAGGCACGAGAGACTTGTAGGAGAAGACGAGACTCGAATCGAGTTTCCGGTTTGGGAGTTAGGGTCGGATTTCTATCTAGCCAAAATTATTTACTTAACTATCTTTGTAATTATATAGTAATTAATTTTTTATGTTTTTTTGTAATTAAAATATTAATACATAATTATATTGTCATTAATTATTTTTATTTTTTATTTTCAGATATTTCCTGAGTAGCAGTTTGTTTCTTGTGGAATGCAGCCGTGTGAAGATTGCGACAAACTTTTGTTTATGAAGAAAACTTTTATTTTTGATTTACGTTATTTAGATTTGTAAACAACATTATATATGTATTATGCAAAATTATGTGGTTAGATAATTTTGATGATGTGTTGTTATGAATGGAAGAGTACTTTAATTATGGATGAAATTTTATTTATATACAGGAATTTTTATATTATTATATAGTTATCGATTTTTTTTTAGCTATTTTTATTTAATACAGGTAATTTGCATATTTTTAATAATTTTATTGCTGCATTTTTTGTTAGAACCAGGTTTTTGCGACGGTAGCGTAGCCGTCACCAATGATGATGGCAATATGAACAAAAGGCCTTTACCGACGGTACTTTCACCGTCGCAAATAATATTTTTAGAGACGGCACACTTTTCTGTCGCAAATAACAGTATTAACGACGGTATTAAACCTGTCACAAATAACCATTTTTAGCGACGATATTTTTACCGTCTCAAATAAACCCTTTTGCGACGGTATTTTCCCGTTGCAAATAACCATATTAGCGACGGTATTTTAGTGCCGTCTCAAAGTCTTCAAATTTTTACACATTAATTGCGACAGTATTTTGCCGTCGCCAATATTTTTGCGACGGCGTTTATCGTCGCTAAAGACCTTTAGTTACCCCTTTTTTGGCGACCCCCCTATTACCGTCGCTAAAAGCTATTCACCGTCGCAAATAAGCTTTTGAGACGGCTTCTTTGGTATTGGTGACGGTATTTTACCGTCGCAAAAAAGCGAATTTTTTGTAGTGTTCTCTTTTTTCTCTACTTTGTGCACATCTTTTCGTAAAAAGCTAAAAAGTCATCACAAACATATTAGTTTTTTTTAGTTCATATTTTAACCAAATAGTCAAAAAGTTACTAAATTAGCATGTTCCCAAACGAGGCCTCAAAATGACTAAAAGTCAAGCTATTATATCATGAGGGGGACATGTTAATATTAGGGGTGGGCGCGGGTCGGTTGCGGCCACGAAACCTCCAATCCGCCATCCGTCCGCCAGATTGGCGGATTGAAGAAAATCAATAAGAGTACTTTAATTATGGATGAAATTTTATTTATATACAGGAATTTTTATATTATTATATAGTTATCGATTTTTTTTTAGCTATTTTTATTTAATACAGGTAATTTGCATATTTTTAATAATTTTATTGCTGCATTTTTTGTTAGAACCAGGTTTTTGTGACGGTAGCGTAGCCGTCGCCAATGATGTTGGCAATATGAACAAAAGGCCTTTAGCGACGGTACTTTCACCGTCGCAAATAATATTTTTAGAGACGGCACACTTTTCTGTCGCAAATAACAGTATTAACGACGGTATTAAACCCATCACAAATAACCATTTTTAGCGACGATGTTTTTACCGTCTCAAATAAACCCTTTTGCGACGGTATTTTCCCGTTGCAAATAACCATATTAGCGACGGTATTTTAGTGCCGTCTCAAAGTCTTCAGATTTTTACACATTAATTGCGACAGTATTTTGCAGTCGCTAAAAGGCATTTTTGCCGTCGCCAATATTTTTGCGACGGCGTTTACCGTCGCTAAAGACCTTTAGTTACCCCTTTTTTGGCGACCCCCCTATTACCGTCGCTAAAAGCTATTTACCGTTGCAAAAAAGCTTTTGAGACGGCTTCTTTGGTATTGGCGACGGTATTTTACCGTCGCAAAAAAGCAAATTTTTTGTAGTGTTCTCTTTTTTCTCTACTTTGTACACATCTTTTCGTAAAAAGCTAAAAAGTCATCACAAACATATTAGTTTTTTTTAGCTCATATTTTAACTAAATAGTCAAAAATTTACTAAATTAGCATGTTCCCAAACGAGGCCTCAAAATGACTAAAAGTCAAGCTATTATATCATGAGGGGGACATGTTAATATGTGATATTCTATTACATCGGGAAGTGGTAGTGTAGCCCATCGAGAAGGGCTTAAATATTAAATTTTTTTAATAACAAAATTTGAGTCCATATGTATATAAATACTAAAATTACTAATTTTTTAGGACAAATTACATATGCCTCCCTCGAGATTTAGCTAAATTACATAACTCTCCTGAGGTTTCGAAAATCACAAATGCCCCCCAAGGTTTATATTTTCATAACAAATTACCCCCTGAGGTTTATATTTTCATAACAAATTGCCTCCTATTTGTTATGAAAATATAACCTTCAGAGAGGTATCTGTAATTTCTCAAAACTTAGTGAGGTATCTATAATTTTGCAAAATCTCGAGAGGATATATGTGATTTGCCCAATTTTTTTTAACTCATGCTGTGCATGGATCATTTAAAATATTAGGTGATAAATTTAATTTGATAACATTGTATTAGTGATTGAATGGACTATAATTTTCTTGTTCACAATAATTATAATATTGTACTCCTTAAGCAATTTCATATGGTTTCTATAATCGATATAAATCATAATTATTCACATACGCAAAATACTCCAAATTTTGAAAACCCACTGTATAAGTATTATTATTAATTTATTCAAACTTTATGTTGACTTAGCAGATTGGAAACAAAATTAGATCAATTTTAATTTAAAAAAAAAATATTTCTCTAAATGCACTTATAGCTAGTATAGCTAACAATATTTTAAAAACAATTCATAATTTTACAAATATATATTCATTATTTTTAAATAACTCATCCCTTCAATTGTTTTTTTATAAAATTTTCAATAAAACTTCATTTTTATGTTACTAATACTACAATATTTTTAGATGGAACTTATATAAGAGCTTGGGGATTCTTATTAACAATGAATAACTGTTACGAAAATTAAGGGGTTGTTTGGTTTTTGATTTGGGCAAAAAAAATTATAAAAAGATAAAAAAAAGCCAAAAAATCATAAAAAGATAAAAAAAAATTTCCTATTTCAAAGCTAAAAGTTTCAAAAAAGTCAATTAAAAATACCAAATGAACAAAAAAAATTTAGATTAAAAAGTCTAAAAAATTTAAAAACCAACTAAAAAAAATCATTTTCAAATGAAGGCTAACTGTTACTGTGAGGTCGATGCAATCATCGGCCCTGTTTGGTACAGCTTAATTTCAGCTTTCAGCTTAATTTAAGCTATTTTGATGTGTTTGGTTTAGCTTATAGCTTATAACTTATAGCTTTGTGGAAGTCAGAAAACAGCTTATTCTTTGAGTGGGGCAGGAGATGCTTTAAGAATAAGCTGGATTAAAAAGTCTAAAAAATTTAAAAACCAACTAAAAAAAATCATTTTCAAATGAAGGCTAACTGTTACTGTGAGGTCGATGCAATCATCATCGTTGATTAAGGTAACAATGAACTGACAGTGCACGTGGTTTGGTTTTCATAAATTTATTTTTTTAATTTTTTTTTTAAAAATTTAAAAATTTATTCCGTAAAAAAATTAAAAGCACTCATCATTTTAATATAGTTTTATTTTTTTGGAAAGAAAAAAATTTACAAAAATTTAAAAATATATTTTTAATATTTATTTTATCAAACTAATTTCTAGTTTTCTAAGGGTTGGTGTGGCAAGGGCTCATTGGGCTTTTTTTGGCTCAATGAGCCATAAAAGACAGAATAGGCTCATGAGTCACAACAGACAAAACATCCCATCCAATCCCATAATCATTACACTCTTCTCTCACAAAAAAATTAAAAAAGTCAAATAGCCAAAAATCCTTCCCAAACTAAGCTTTTGAGCCCAGGCTTATATAGTCAAAAAAGTCAAAAAGCCAAAAAGCCAACTCACTTCCCAAACGGAGGCTAAATAAAATTTGAATTTTTTTTCTAGAGATTAGATCTCGTCTAAGAATAGACTATTTTAGCGATTGTTTTATTTTTTTGGTTAAAATATAAAATAAAAAAAAATTAGTATGTTTGTAATATTTTTTAATTTTTTATAAAAAAATATACAAAAAATAAAGCGAACAAAAAACTTTAAATTTTTAATATAAGTTATAAATTTTTTATTTTTTAATAATTTTTTAACTTTTAAATTAAAAACATTACATGTCAACCGAAATCAAATAATATATCAAAATTCTGAACCCATACATGGATGGTGAGTAATCAATAGGAAAATGTTTGAGGGTCATAATTTTTGTGGCTCAAATGGTTCAAAATTATCAAAACGACGTCGTTTTGACAATTTTGAAGTTGTTTTGTATTCAAAACGACGTCGTTTTAACAATTTCGAACCATTTGAGTCACAAAAATTGTGACAGTCAATCATTGCTGTAACCAATAATATCTCAAACTTCTGAACCCGCGCATGGAATCGAGTAATTCAATTTAAGGCGGTTTAGGAATTAATTTTTTAAATAATTTTTTATGAAATGATGAGTAAGAAAAATAAAAAGAATAATTTAATAATTTATAATATTTTTTAACAACAATGATTTAGACCACTAAAAAATACATCACTAATAGCACTAATACATTGGAAATGACAAAAAAAATAATAAAAAAATAAAAACAAGGCATAGAAAGTGGATGGGGCCCACTGCCACATCATTAGTACTCCCTTTAATGATTTTTTTTAGTGCTCCCAAACATTTTTCATTTTTTAAACTAAAAAACTATCTTTCTGAACACCCCCTTACTCTAGTAGGTCTGTAGAAGTGAACCTAGACTTTTTAAAAACGATTTTGTAATTAAATAATCAGAAATGTTTGGCATTTTTTTTTTTTTTTTTTGAGGTTAACCCTTAATTTAATTTTGATTCTTGATATGTATATGGGATCCATTTATATATACGTGGATCTCATATTTTAAGTGGTTGGGATGAGAGTGAGAGTTGTGAGAGTCATGTATGTGTAGGCATTTCTATCACAATTGTTAGATAATAGTTAAATATATTTTAAAAAGGTACTTACTCGTAGGTCCTAACAAGTGGATTTATTATCTAAAAGGTCCTATGAAAAAAATTTGTTATAAAAAAAGTTATTAATTGTAAATTTTAGCAATAATTTATAAAGATCATGACAAAATAGAAAGTCACTAATTGTCAATTTTTAACGACGTATGTAAAAAATTATCACAAAAAATTATTTTTTGCGACAATTTTACCAAGACTTATTTTTAATAGAACTTGATGA